CGTGCGAATGCCGTTTCATATATTTATTATAAACGACAGCGAGACTTCAGTTGGCTCTTTAAAATGTTGTTGTTGCTAATTTGAAATGAAATCAAGCGAAAGAATAGCAAATTGACACACTTTTATAGTTTAAGCATAATCAATAAAAACAAGAGCGAATGCTACATTCGAGCAAACCCGATATTGAAATACCCTGTACCCAAGCAAACTTCCGGCCCTGAGGCTTATGGGCCCATATATCAGAAGCAAAAAGAAGATGAACCCGCTCTACAGTTTATGCACTGAAAAAAAAAACCACGGAAATTTCAATATTTACAAGTAGATTTAACTATTTTTACCATCGATTTTGCACCATCGTGTGTTTTAGTAAATATGAAGTTTGCACACTTAAATTTAACAAGAAAGGAATGCTAAAGTCGATCGGGCTCAACTCTTAAATACCCTGTACCACCCCACAAAAAAATGTAATTAATTAATTTAATTAAATATTAACAAGTAAAAAAGCTAAAGTCGGGTGTCCCGAGGGAGAGGGGGAGGGAGGGAAATTCCAAAATACACATTTTCTGCGTATTCATATAAGGCATTTTGGACTAAAATTTGGTGTCCCTAGGTCCTATAGTCTCCGAGATATAGGCGATTATACGAATGGAAAATCGGGAAAACCCCCATAGGGGGGAAGTGGGGGGAAAATCAAAATAAATAAATAATAAAACAAACTTGCACAGCGTCTCTAGCTCTTATAGTCTCTGAGATCCAGGTGTTCATACGGACAGACAGACAGCCAGTCAGGGCTAGATCGACTCGTCTCGTCATGCTGATCGAGAATATATATACTTTGTGGGGTCTGCCACGCCTCCTTCTGCCTGTTACATTTTCAGCTCCAGCAAACCTAATATACTCTTGTACATTTTATGTACAGAGTATAATAAGTCAAAGCAGCACCCCTTGCCGGCAGAGCTTGGGCAGAGATTACGTTTATTGCTATGAGTTTCTTCATAATTAACCTATCATGATGAAACTTAGCACACAGACGTACAGAAGAAGGTACAAAAGCTAGAATAACCAAACTCGGTATCCAGATTCCCATAAGCCCTAGGCAGGTCAAGTTTGTTTTTTTATTCTGATACACCTCCCCCCACTCCCACGCAATTCGTGTTCTTTTTTAAACCTTCCGTAATTCTTGGAATTTTGAAATCAATTTTGATAGTTACATCCAGTTAGTGCTTATGTGTCCGTGTGCCAAGTTTCATCATGATAGGTCAATTCTGAAGAAAGTTATAGTCATAAATAAAATCGCTGCCCATGCTCTGCCTACAGCTTTGGTTCAACTTTGTGCTGCATACATACACGCATATAAACCCGCATAGACACGACGATGTAAATTTAAAACTGTACATAAACATGTCTTCTATGTATGTATTAAATGAATTTTCTTTATTATTATACTCTGTACATGAAATGTACAAGAGTATATTAGGTTTGCGGGAGCTGAAAAATGTAACAGGCAGAAGGAGGCGTGGCAGACCCCACAAAGTATATATATTCTTGATTAGCATGACGAGACGAGTCGATCTAGCCCTGTCTGTCTGTCTGTCCGTCTGTCCGTCCGTATGAACACCTGGATCTCAGAGACTATAAGAGATAGAGACACCAAATTTTGCACGAAGATGCGTTATGTGTATATTCTATACGAGTTTGTTTTATTTTTATGATTTTCCCCCCCACTTCCCCCCTATGGGGGTTTTCCCGATTTTCCATTCGTATAATCGCCTATATCTCGGAGACTATAAGACCTAGGAACACCAAATTTTAGTCCCAGATGCCTTATGTGAATACGCAGAAAATGTATATTTTGGAATTCCCCTCCCTCCCCCCTCTACCCCGCAAATCGTAACTCCCGTAATTCTTGGAATTTCGAACTAAAATTTTGGAAATACCCTCAGTTAGTTATTATGTGTCCGTATGCCAAATTTCATTATGATAGACCGATTTAACAAGAAGTTATAGCCATAAATATATTTGCTGATGCAGCGCTGCTCAAGCGCTGCTCAAGCGCTGCCCGCGGCTGTTGTTGATGTTGCTGTTTGGTTGACTGCGAAAATGCTTACACAGACACGAATTGATGCGCATAGGCATACATACACTCACACAGACGCAATTGCTATGTAAATGTGCAATTATACACCCTTTACGTGAGTTCGAATACCGAGAGAGGTAAAATCGATCAAATTTTTTTTTTTTTTTTTTTCTTAATTTTTTTTATTTTCTATAATTATTGTAAACATATGTACAGAGTATTTCAAAGTCGGGACACCCGACTTTAGCTTTTTTACTTGTTTTTAATTCAATTTTCTTTAATTATTTAATTAAAAAAAAATTGTTTTGCTTCTGCATATTAAGTAAACATGAAATGCATATGCATTTAGCGCATGAGCACGTGTAAGTAATTAATTCCATTACTCATGTTATCTTTGTATATATGTATAAGTACATACATATAGTACATATATGTAAAGCAGTTTGTCCTGACTGATTGGTAATCAACACACAGCCCAACTGGTAAAGCTATGAAGCTGATTTTTGGACACCAGTTTCCCATCATAAAATATTGTTTGAAAAATCTGCAATTTTTGTGGAAATAATTTTAATATTGGTTTGAAAACTGTTGAAAATAATACAAAATAAACTTTGTACTAGAGTTTTTTAAATTGGGTCCGAAGTTGTGGAGTTTCCATATTTTCGTATTTTCGATTTCAAGTGTGGAACTCAACATAAGTTCAGCTGGCACTCAGTAATTTTCTAAATTTGCAAATAATTTTTATAGCCTGTACCCAAAGGGTGAAAGGCTATACTAGTTTTGTGCGCATGTATGTAACACACAGAAGGAGGCGTGGCAGACCCCACAAAGTATATATATTCTTGATCAGGATGAGAAGCCGAGTCGATATAGCCTTGTCCGTCCGTCCGTCTGTCCGTCTGACCGTCTGTCCGTCTGTCTGTCCGTATGAACGCAAGGATCTCAGAAAGTATAAGGGCTAGAATAACCAAACTTGGTTTCCATATTCTCCTAAGACCGAGAAAGTACGAGTTTGAGTTTTTTTTCGATGCACCACCCCACTCCCCCGCAATTCGTGTTTTTTCTTATAACTTCCGTAATTCTCGGAATTTTGAAATAAATTTTGGTAGGTACATCCAGTTAGTACTAATGTGTCCGTATGCCAAATTTCATCATGATAGGTCAATTCTGAAGAAAGTTATAGCCATAAGAAAAATCGCTGCTCATGCGCTGCCTGCAGCTCTGTCGGCAGCGCTGCCCGCAGCTGTTGTTGTTGTTGCTGCTTTGGTTCAACTTTGTGCTGCATACATACACGCATATAAACACGCATAGGTACGTGATGTAAATGTATGCTGTTAAAACTGAACATAAACATGTATTCTAATTTAATTTAATTAATTAATTCATTCATTCATTTTTTTTAATAATTTAATTAATTTTTTTTTTTAATTTTTCTTTTTTGTGGAGAGTACAGGCTATTTTACTGTCGGGCTTGCTCGACTGTAGCGTTCTATCTTGTTTCACTTCGCACATGCAGTGGAAACTAACAACAGCAAGAGAGAACGCTACAGTCGAGCAAGCCCGACAGTAAAATACCCTGTACTCTCCACAAAAAGGAAAAATTAAAAAAAAAAAAAAATTATTAAAAAAAATGAATGAATGAATTAATTAAAATTAATTAATTAAATTAAATTAGAATACATGTTTATGTTCAGTTTTAACAGCATACATTTACATCACGTACCTATGTGTGTTTATATGCGTGTATGTATGCAGCACAAAGTTGAACCAAAGCAGCAACAACAACAACAGCTGTGGGCAGCGCAGCCGACATGCTGCAGGCAGCGCATGAGCAGCGATTTTACTTATGGCTATAACTTTCTTCAGAATTGACCTATCATGATGAAATTTGGCACACGGACACATTAGTACTAACTGGATGTACCTACCAAAATTGATTTCAAAATTCCGAATGAGGAGTGCGGGGGGTGTATCAGAAAAAATAAACAAACTCGATCTGCCTAGGGCTTATAGGAACCTTGATACCAATTTTGGTTATCCTAGCTCTTGTACTTACTGAGATCCGTGCGCTCATACAGACAGACGGACAGACGGTCAGACAGACAGACGGACATGGCGATATCGACTCGTCTTGTCATCCTGATCAAGAATATTTATACTTTGTGGGGTCTGCCACGCCTCTTTCTGCTTGTTACATACATTCGCACAAAACTAGTATACCCTTTCACCCTTTGGGTACAGGGTATAAAAACACGAATTGCGGGGGAGAGGGGGGGTTGATCAGAAAAAATAAACAAACTCGATCTGCCTAGGGCTTATAGGAACCTTGATACCAATTTTGGTTATCCTAGCTCTTGTACTTACTGAGATCCTTGCGCTCATACAGACAGACGGACAGACAGACAGACGGACATGGCTATATCGACTAGTCTTGTCATCTTGATCAAGAATATATATACTTTGTGGGGTCTGCCACGCCTCCTTCTGTGTGTTACATACATGTGCACAAAACTAGTATAGCCTTTCACCCTTTGGGTACAGGCTATAAAAAAAAAAACAAGAGAGAACGCTACATTCGAGCAAGCCCGACAGTAAAATACCCTGTACCCAGGTAAACTTCCGACACTGAGGTATATGCGCTTCTAGCAAATGCAAAAAGAGGAAGAAGAAGAGCGAACTTGTTGCTGCAGTTTGGTGGGGTTGTACTGCCGAGAATTTGTTTCGCTAATAACTTTTCTTAGAATTAACCGAATTGGAAAGAATTGTAAACTGAAATAGATAACTGTACATAGATTGTGCAAAGTTTGGTTTATGTAGGTTTTGAAATGTGGGCAGTATTGACGAAATTCTGTAGCGGTGGAAAGGGGGAAGACGGGAAATACCGACTAGTCGTTTATATGATGTTAATTTATTCTTCACTTACCCGTTATTGTCCACAGTTCACGCAAACAGTCTTCGCGACTCTTCGCAATGACTGCTGATTTACTTAGATCCTGCGGGGATTCAAATAGTGGAAAAATGAGCGCACCCAGAACGGAGTATCCAATGACTAGGAACACCAGGCCGGGAGTGGAACACAGAAGCTTGAGCAGTAGGCTGAAACAGCGTTGCGGGCGGCTAGCTGGTATTGTACTGGCTGCTGGGGCTGGCAATACTTTTACTGATTTAGCTATTTGTTGTGACTCGTCATCAGCGGCATGGCCATTGTCTTCATCGTCTTCATGTGGATCGCCCTTAATCGCCTTCTCAACGTCGGACATGGTCGCAAATGCAAAACACTCAATGAGCTTTGCTGTTGTTGCATTTGTTGGTGTTGTTGCTGCCTATAGCACATTAGGTCGGCGCCGTTGAAGCTTTTGCTGCCGGTCTAAGCTGTCCGTAGCATTTCCGTTTCCGCTTTTGGTTTGTACTTGTTGCTTTAGTATTTATTTTTGTTTGCCTTGTAAATGCAATTGTTGTGGGGCTGGTTGTTGCGCTTATTCCGTGATGCATAGCCAGGCTGCAGACGTCAACTAATTACAACAAAGATCGCACATCATTACGTTCTCTGCCTTGTTATTGCCTATCATTTAGCCGCGCCTCTGCTGAGCCAAGCTACCCTGCCCCTCGACGGCCCCAACGTCTAGGCGTATTATGTTTTAAGCTGTTCTTGACTCGTTACTGCAGTCGTCGCTTCTGCTGCTCTTGTTGTCGCTGCTGACACGGCATTTGCCATTGTTCTAGGGGCTTCCTCCTCTTTGGCTCCACTTCTAGCAGTAGCTGGTGCTGTACTCGTACTTTAAAGTGCTTGTGCTAGTTTATTCCCCTCTTTTAGTGGGTTGTGCTTTGCTTCGCCTGCCGTACCGCTACCTGCAATTGAAAACGGTTGTGTTTATGTATTTAAAAGTACAGGAGAGATTCGTGTGGCAGCAGCTGAAAATTGCTGTATACATACATACTTGTACATACGAGTATATGCGTAAACTTTCTAGTATGTTAAACAAGTACAGTAGCAGAAGCAATTTGACACTTCACTTACTATAATCTAATTACCGTTTGTTCACAGCAACGTAGTTGAAGCATGTACTACATATGAGTGGTTTCAATAACTTACATAGTTTTGTAAAAAATGCTCAATATTCTGCACCTAATGTAGAACGAAATACATTTCTATAGAGATTTATAGTTTTAAACTAATATACTAATTTACCCTTTGGGTACAGTGTATAAAAACAGACACAATGTTATAGTCGAAAAAGCCAGCAGAATAACCAGAAATAACCACCAGTTTATTATGTTTCGTTAATAACTTTTTTTGAATTGACCGGATACAGTGGAAATTAAAATACAACAGATATTTTCATAATGTAACCTTTTTAAATTTTTATTGAATTGAGAAGCTAAACAAAGTACGAGCCCTAACCACTATTAATTGGTACGGCTACGTTTTTTTCGATAGTGCAACTTTTAATGACTTATATTTCTTTTTAGGTGATTATTGCCCAAATTTATTTATACTTTTTAAAAAGTGAACGACCTTTAATTTTGTACCAAAACATGCACACGTTTCACATGACAATAATGCAAAAAATCAATTTAAGTAACTCAACTTTTTTAATTCACGAAATATTTTTGGCCACTATTAATTGGTATATTATTATTACAGAGTTTAGTTTGTTAAATAGTTATGTTACTGGCAAAAGTATCGCATGAAAATAATACATAGACAAATTTATGACAAGCACTAAAGCAATAAACCTTTTTCATTTTTCGTTTCATCAACCCAAATAATTTGTTTCCACTTTTATACAAGTATATATACATAATTAAAAGGCAGAGCTATACCGTCTAATTTCAACACGGTCGCTGATAAAAATGTTTCTTCAATTTAAAAAACAAGTCAAAAAGCTAAAGTCGGGTGTCTCGACTTTGAAATACTCTGTACATATGTTTACAATAATTATAGAAAGCAGCGCTGCAGCTGCAAATATATTTATGGCTATAACTTCTTGTTAAATCGGTCTATCATAGTGAAACTTGGCACACGGACACATAATAACTAATTGGGGGTATTTGCAATTTTAGTTCAAAATTCCAAGAATTACGGGAGTTAGAGAAAATCGCGATTTGCTGTGGAGAGGGGGGAGGGAGGGAAATTCCAAAATAAACATTTTCTGCGTATTTACACAAGGCATCTTGGACTAATTTGATGTTCTTAAGTCTTATAGTCTCCGAGATATAGGCAATTATAAGAATGGTAAATCGGGAAAACCCACATAGGGGGGAAGTGGGGGGGGGGGGGGAAATCAAAAAAATAAAACAAGCTCGTATAGAATACACACATAAGCCATCTTTGTGCCTTTGGTGTCTCTATCTCTTATAGTCTCTGAGATCCAGGTGTTCATACGGACAGACGGACAGACAGACAGACAGACAGACAGACAGGGCTAGATCGACTCGTCTCGTCATGCTGATCAAGAATATATATACTTTGTGGGGTCTGCCATGCCTCCTTCTGCCTGCTACATTTTTCAGCTCCCGCAAACCTAATATACATTTCATGAACAGAGTATAAAAATGGGGAAAACAGCAGGTCCAATCGAAGTAATAGCAACACTGCATTCGCCTGGTAGATTCATAAATAATTCAATAATCGCTCATCACAAATCATAATTGCCTGTTTAATTCCACCAGGTGTTCGTATCAGATAATCTATTTTTGCTTTATACCTACATACTTGTTATATTACAGAACAAGTACTTGTATTTAGTTGTCTGAATTGAGCTGATTTCAATATGCACGTATCTTAAAAATTAACTTCTATGGTGGCAAATACAATTGTTTTCATTTCGATTTCGATTAGAATTATATCCAAAAGCTGTACTTTCCAGTTGGCTGATTTCCAAAAACCTCTACTGCTGCCATTCATTTGCTCAGAATATATGTATGCTTGGATTTCTTTGATAATATTTAAGTACCACACATAATCCCCAAAGCACACAAGAATGTGTTGTGTCTAGTCAGCAATCTTCAGTGGAAGGAATCGACATTATTGATTAAGCACATTCAAAAGTAACGCAGTCGCTGCCACAAATCTATAACAATGGCTGCTAATACAAATTGAATGACAAAACCGACAGACAGACATTAGAAAGAACTGCAGACATGAAAGTGAACCTGAAAGAATGTGGCACCACATATTTAGGGCACACGTCAAAGTCCATAATCATAATGAAGCTGATTGCAAACGTGTCGAACTTAATAGTACGCTTAAGGGATTTAGACATTGATTCAATTAAACCCACCCCTCACTCTCAAACACATGCGAACCGTTTTTCCTTGCATGTTTATAGTTGACGTCTGCTCCACAATTAAAGGCGTTCCGTTATAAAAATGGTCCACTAAGCGGCTATTAGAGACGCGCGTCGACTTGGCCAGATCTATGGTCAAAGTAGAAATTGCTTTCGATGGCCATGGTGTGTGCTAGCTTGTTAACAAACTACATTATTGATGTGCCTAAGATATGTACATGTATATACTCGTACATACACATTGTTTTGCTCCGGCCCAGCTGAAAAAAATTAATATTTCCCGATTTCCCTTCTTTGCTTTGCGTCCCCAAGTCACTTACACAACGAGAAAGTGCCTCGAGTGCTTTCTATGGTGGCACTGCGGCACACACAATTTACTTAATTGGAAAACAAAATAAGCTTAGCCTGCTATTTGCCCTGCTACCTCGGCACTGACTACTTGTTTTGTTTTTTTCCCCCCACTGCGAGTAAGAACGCAGTTTGGTTTCTTATTTATAGTGCCAGCAGAATTTAATTCGGGACCGGCGTGGCAAAGGGCTGCCAAGATTTTGTCTCATGGCGTAAGCTAATACAAAAATAATATTAGGCTTGGCGCAGCGTTCGTTGATAATACCACATAACGCAAACAACAACAGTAACAAGACAAAACCAGCCACGTCACCAATGGCCCGACTCCATGAGGTCATAACCTTACGTCCGCTCGGTAAACGAAGAAATCTCTGCCGGAAGTTAACCCTTTTAGTCCAATTGAAATCATCTTAACTTGACTTAATTGAAATGTTTGCTTTTCACTTTAATTAAAGCGTTTTTGCCAAACCTTTTAGATTGTATTTGCCACTTGCCTTTATCTCGACGCAACTTATTCCTCTTCCATTCCTATTTTTTAGTACAGCCTGGCAATTCATTCGTTTCATTGCGCGCGGGCGTCTTTTTATGAAGTTGTTGGAAAAGTTTTAATAGTTAAATGTAACAACTTGGTGGGCGCTGACGGCCCTGTTTTTCATTTCCATTCATTTCCTTTGCCAGAGTTTCCCTTTTGAGCGACACGTCGCGCGGCAGTGAGGTCCTTGCGTTTATGTTGTTGCTAGCATTCTTGCTATGCATTATTTATGATTATTTTTAATGCAATGACAACAAACGCAGTTTAATTACAATTTTTAAATCATCAAATGCAGCAGAGACACAAAAACGAAGTCGGTAATGGCAACGACCAAGAAAAATGGCGTTAATGGCGATCTCATTTTTCTTACAGCAACGGTTCTGTGAGTACTACCACATAATGCATCCGTCTAGGCCAGTCCGCTGTTTTCAAATCCAATTTAGCTTCATAATTTTATGAGACGACAAGCACTGTCCAAGCAACGTCATTGCCATCATACTTGTAGTCGCCTATTCCCAATTTAATTGCATCGGGCTGTGAGCGAGGGTACCAACATTAAGCACCAGTCATAAAAGGACGCCTGAGGCTTGGCTGAGGCACAGCTGAACTGAAGCCGGGTGAGGTTTAGTTGGCGCCATTATAGCGTGGCAGAGGTGGTCCACGTTTGGACACCAGAGCAGTTCAAAGCTCAAGTTTATCGTTTCAAAAACTGCAGCCACTGGTAGCCAGGGCAGCAGGCGTCATTCAAGCGAAAGGATTAAGCTTAGTGGAGCTGGCGTTGTCGCTTGTCTAGCCGCTCCTTTGACCCCTCGCATCGCTGCCAGTCGTTCCATCTGTCCATGTGGTATGCTGTCTGAATGTTTTTGTGGTTAAAGACACCCGCCAACAGAAAGTATGCTTTTGTCGCGCTGATGCTTTTTGATGCGATTGCATTAGCAGTAAACACAACAACAACAACTACAATTACAACAAAAGTGACAACTCTGTAAATGGCAAAGCATTCCATTCACCCCTTTAAAGAGCTTCCATAGGTAACAGTGCGGCCATAATAGCCATTTCTCCGGTTATATGCAGCGGTTTTTTCAGACTATATTTATATTGTAAATATACATATTTGTTTGTAATAATATACGTTAAAAAGTAGTATCTTTTCAGAGCTTTTAAGTTTTTTAATCTTGTGTCAAAATATAAATGAATTAAATTTGGTTATTGGAATATGCGGTACAAATGGACCATGGATCAAGTACTTGGCTTGTATTATAATTAGGCAAGGGCGTATTGCCACAAAAACACACATCTTTTGCTAAGTTCGAATTTGAATAAAATAATATTTTATTATAAAATTTTTAATATATAGTTATATTAATACGAATTATCAAACATAGATCTAG